TTTTTTTTTTAAGAGGGAAGGAAAATAGACCCTTTCTAACTCAGAAATTTGGAGAAGGGAAAGAGAGAAGAGTATTTAAGTGAATCTTAGCTGTCATATGTAACTTGTCTATATAGTTTTTTTTTTTATTTTGCTCCAAATGAAACTTCCCGTGTTTATAATAATTATTTTGACAAATTATACTACTTTATAAGAATTTGATCACTCCTTGCATTAACGCTTCTATTTTGTTTTTCACTTAGATAATCAAATTAAATCGACGTCTACAACTTCTAGAAGAGGAGAACAAAGAACGTGCTAAAAGAGAAATGGTCATGTATTCAATTACGGTAGCATTCTGGCTGCTTAATAGCTGGCTCTGGTTTCGCCGCTAGAGTAACCTCAGCTCTCAAAAAATACTGTCTCAACAGCTGGAAATATAAAGAATTTGCAAACTTCCTTGTTTCTGTGTTGCATTGAATATGCCATTTTATAGTCCACGCCCTGAAAATGTACTTCTTCCAGAAGGGAAGGGGAAAGACTCATGTTTGAAGAGGTAAAGGTATATTCTGCCACTTAGCTGTATTCCCTTGTAACTAGTCCTGCAATAACGCCTACTTAAAATTCTCTCTTTGCATGTTGTGTAAATAGGCTCTGATTTGTTTTTTAAAAGGAATTAATTTTTTGCCACATCAGTTTGCACAAGTAATTCTCTGAATGGGGGTAGGTAGAGAATAGATTTAGAAAAGTATCTGTAAAAGAAAAATCCTTTACTTTGATCTGTTTCCCAAACACTGTTAAACAGTTTTGTTAATAGACATGCTCGCATCCACATTCAGCATTAACACATCTGAAAGTCATGGTCTGGTGTTAGAATTAATAAAATCAAGCCGCCTCATGTTTCACCTTTATTATTAAAATAAGTCCTAATATTTTCAGCAGTTTATCTAATATGTGTGTAAAATATGTGTGCTTTTATTTTAGTTTTTCAGGTGGTTTTCTATAAGGGACATTTTTACTAAGTTCATGTGTGAATGATTTTAAAAACTACAGAATAAGGTACAATTGCAGTGTATTTAATAAACTGTCAACCAAAGCAATATTTGTTGATCGGAAGATTTTGTTTCATCATACTATGCTGTGAGCTCTATCACATACTCTTATCTTACATGAACCCAAGTCTCTGTCTCAGGCGCAAGTCATGCAGCTAAGGGCTTGGCAGGAGCAAGACCCTATGTGCTGCTCTTAAGGAATTGACAAATCAATGGAGGAGGCCGGGAGTAGGTTTATTAAGGAATTAGAAGATGATAAAAACAACTTTATTGAAGAAGAGCAATTTGAGATACAGCTGAAGGATAGGGAGAGGGTGGAGTGTTTCACGTGGTGGATAACAGTAAAAATTAAAGTGTAAAGATTCCAAAACAAGATTGAACATGGAGGTGGAAGTGAGAAATAAAAAACAGCTTTGTAAATGACTAAGTACATGGGGGAGGGGGTGTACAAATACGC